AACTGTACTCATTTTGGCATGAACATTTAGCATTCCTTAATATTTGCACTCGTGTGGATAAAGAATCTAGTCTGTTACATTTTGGCATCATTATTTGGGCAAGGCATATGTAAAGTTTCTCATATTTAAATCTCCATGGGCAATCTTCATTCAGATACATGGCTCCAGAATATGCGACAACTGGAAAGTTGACTGAAAAGTCTGATGTATTCTCATTTGGAGTTGTGCTGTTGGAGCTTATTACTGGTCGTAAGCCTGTTGATGCATCTCAGCTTTAGGAGATGAAAGCCTGGTTGAATGGGTAAGCTTTCTCAATACTAGCATTGCCGTTGAATTTTCTCTGTACCTTGACTATGAACTCGTATACACCAATGTTTCCAATTTTTCTTTGTTGCAGATTTTCTTAACATTGCAATGACAGTTAAATAAAACAACTGATTAATTTTCTTTGAAAACTGATGAGCATATATAAAAGTTTGCAATATTTAGATTTTATGAAGAAGAAAATTGTTTCTTTAATGTTTTTGGCAAGACAAGTATTCTGACTGCACTAATGACTAGCTCCATCACTTTTGTTTTGTATGCAAAACTCTTGTTTTGCATGTCTGAATTTGGATTGGTTTTTCTTTTCATTCTTCTGCGGGTTAATTTTGTCATCATTTTTGTGTAAGCTTTGCTTCAATTCTAGAGTATCTTTTCGCTTGATTTTAAAATTAAGGCCTTGCTCAGATTTGGGCTGCTGAACTCAGGTGTCGGGCATAATTGTTCTCTGCTTTCTTACTTCTTAGCATGTTATGATACTTGGATTCAGCTTATTAAGATGCTTGATTCTCCATGTTGTATGATTGGAATATTCCACGTTAATTTAAGCGCAAATTACTTGTTGCAACTCACAGGCTCGGCCCTTGCTCAGTCAAGCACTTGAGAGTGCTAATTTTGATGGGTTGGTAGACCCTAGACTTGGAAATAACTTTGTTGAAAGTGAGGTGTTCCGGATGATCGAAGCAGCCTGCAGCATGTGTGCGTCATTTAGCTTCAAAGAGGCCAAGGATGAGTCAGGTATTTGAGTGATTAAATGCAGGTAGCTTCCATGATGAGACATAAGTTTTTAACAGTTACACTTGCCCACAATGATTTTTTTTTTTTTTTTGTTGTGTCTTAGGTGGTCAGAGCTTTGGATTCCATAAGCGAGATTTCGGATATCACGAATGGAATGAAACCTGGTCAAAGCCAAATATATGATGCAAGAGAACGTTCTGCACAAATTAGAATGTTTCAGAGAATGGCATTGGCAGTCAAGAATACAGTTCATCCGATTTCCTGGGCTACTCCCAGAGCAGCTGTAGGAGCTGAGTGGGGAACTGGCTGCATTGTAACTCGCTGACAGCCATGTGATACGAGTAGGGAAAGTATATGCTTCCATTGCAAGGAATATACAAAGCAGGGCGTCCGTCCTTGATCATAAATCTTGGGGCAGAAGTTTTGGCAGATCTTTATCCGCGAACCAACTTACTCAGAAGGCTAACTATTCGTCCTAACCTCATTCTTTCTGTGCTTCATTCTCAATTGTCCAATCCATTTTGTTTAACTATTTCTGGAGATAATAATGGAGGGTTTTTTTTATTTTTGTTTATAATCATTTGCCCTCTGCAGTTACAATTTGCCTTTGGAGAGCTAGCTGCTCATTGTAATACATGTAAGAAAATTAAGGATCCCATTTTGATAGTGAAGATAAAGTCTATCTGAAAGCTCATCATGCTCTTCCTTTTTTTTTTTTTTTTGGGTCTTCTGGACGTGATTGATGCATGAATGAAATATTGTTATTGTTTGTCGAATAGAAAGGTAATGATCACAATCTCCGGCCCACCACCACTTTATTAGAGCACGAGTCTTCCCAATGTAGTTTTGTCTTGTTTCGTTATTTCTTGCTATTCCAGAAAAGAAATATGTCCCAGGCATGCATCTGCGTCCCCTTTTTCTTTCCTTTGTCCTCCCAACGCCGTCCCAATTATTGAATCTGATCTGGTGTGTGTGCTACTACTACTACTATTTCTTTCTATGAAGAAGCTGTAAGCAAAATCTGCGGTTGGGCCTTGCTCGCAGCTGAACATCTGAAATGAAGAGAGAGGTGGTACTGGTATGCCATATCCCTAGCGTTTAAGATGAGACGATTGTCCTCCTTTCCCTCGAGTCGCGTGCTAATTGTCCTCCCGTCTCCCTTAATCTTTCCTACGCCACTATCATCATTAATATTAGATTCATGATACATGTGTAAAAATTAAATTTTAAATTCAAATTTTACATAACTGTCATTCATCCAATGCTGACAGTGTATACACTGTCACACTGTCAGCGTAGGAAAGATTATTTTTTTTATTTTATGTACCTTTCCGTTCACAGTCATACTCTAGTAATTTTATTTATTTTTTTTTATTAGGCTGACACACGAGGCTGAAGATGTTGCTCTCTTGCTTTACAAAATCTATCTCAATAAAACTTGGTGACATGGAAACAATCATTTTTTTAAAAAAAAAAAAAGAAAAAAAGGGAAAAAAGAAAGAAAGGATGTTTAATCGAACCGTGATATAGCTCGTGCGAGTGCAATATGAACACTTGAATTACGTCAGCAATAGGCTAAGATTATTTTAATACGATGATTGTACAACAGATTGATTAATTAGGAATATATAGGATAGGTTATCAATATTAAGATATCTTTCTAATTCTAACAAGCACAAACAACCTAGTCTATCAATTAGACTAATTTCATTTCACACCATGTGCTTTTTATTTTGAGACACTTTATGCTCTAAGTTATTAAAGATCTTAAATCACCCCTAGAATAAAACTCATATAATATGAATGAAAAGTACACAAAAACATATGTATTCATTCTCTGTTATTTTTTATTTTTTTTTGGGTGGGGGTGGGGTTACAATTCATATTATTGATAATAAAGTTGCATATTGTTTGTATCACTAAAGTTTATAGGGGTGTGAAATTAATAATTTGATATAAATTGATAAGTAACTTTGGCTATAAATATCCACAAAATCGAGGCATAAATAATCTAATAACTAAGGTTGCAAAATTATAAATTTAAAATTTCTTTTTTCGCTGGCTACCTCTTAAGTTTTACCCCTCTCAACTAAAAAAAAAAAAAAAAAAACTAGTATCCACAATAAGAATATATGTAAGATATAATTGAGAATTTTAGGGTGAAAAATAACTAAAACAAAGATGATAGTTGTGTTAAAGGAGAAGGATGAAGAGATGCAAATGCAAAGTTGGGATGGGTCGGGTAGCAACCATTGAACTTGACGCGAAACAAAATACACTACTAATTAAAAGGAAGGGAAGGCAACAATAATCAAACTTAGAAAAGGAGACGGAGAAGAAGGGGAAGGAAAGAGGTCAAAGAAACGAGATATGGAAACGTGGACAAAGTGGAATGGAATAGAAATATAGGCGAAGGTCTCGGAGACTTTTAGCTTTAGGATGATGATGCAGTATATCGCTGTTGTTGTTGGTCCGGTCATACATACTACGCTTCCGTGTGGGCAACTCCTCGACTACTGATCCTTTTGGCTTTTGTACCTCAACAGTTCCAAAAAAAAAAAAAAAGAAAGAACTTTTCATCCAATTACTTTGTTTGATGGGCACCAATAATGAACGATTCACGAGGGTGGAGCATGACCTCATGTGTAGTCGCGCCCCATGCATGTGATTGTGAATGTGGTAGATGCTGCCACCGCCACCCACACAATCTGTATGGAGCACATATCACGTGGAAGGAAGGATGTTTTGGTCATTATGAAACATAATAAATACAGTACATAATATAAGAACTGCATAAGGCCGCCGAAGAAATTGAGAGAACCCTCGCTTACGGCTTACTGAGTGGTTGGACTAGTAGGCCAACATAGGTGACAATAATGGATCATTTTTCTTCGCAAAAAAATCTTGTGTCCAAATTTGATTGTCGCATACCAGAATTATATCAGTGGACGATCTGTAAGAATTTTTATAAGTAACCTATAATCCTACAAATATGTTTTGACCTGTAATGGTAATGGAATGGAATTCACCCAAATTTTTTATGTCAATGAAGCATAAAGTGTAGATATGATTAGAGCTTGCTGGCGAGTCGAGCCACTAGTAAATAACTCGCGAGCTCTTGGTCAAATGTTTAAACTCGAACTCGATTTGATTGAGTTCGAACTTGAGCTCGAGTAGTTCGTTGGATATACCAAATCGAATTCGAACCATTATTATTTCTGCTAATCGAGTGCTCATTGAGTAGCCTGATTATTCATATATTATTTATGTTACATTTTTATTTTAATTATGAAATGACTAATAAGGATTTATGTTTTTAGGCGATTTACCATAAGTGTTGTCTACTCAATAAAATTCATAAATGACAAAAAATGTAATGTTGTAAAAACTAAAAAAGAATTGAGGATTTTAGATAATTTACCATAAATTTTCAAGCATTTTTACGACCGATTTTCAAGCCTGTAAATGAATCCCTGAATCTGCAATAAAATTTAAAGGGTGTGTAGTGGTACATTCCAGTTTTACAATTGACGATTGGCTAAAAAATATATATTTGAATTGTAATTATGAAACCACCTATTTTAACACATATTTTTGTCTTTTTAATTAGTTTTTTTATCTCAAATATATCTTGTCACAAAAAATATTATTATACTAACTATTACAAATAATATTTCAAATAATCTCCTTGTCCAAATAATATAGTATTTTTTATCTGACATGTAAGTGTGTTTGGATTATAAATTATTTGAGATATTTTTACTGTAGCATTTGTTTGATATAATGTATGTGAGATAAAAATGTGATTGGAAAATGTGTTAATGATGCAAGCAAATCAGTGTGTGTAAATAAGGGGTAAATTGAGTGAAATAATATTCAATCCACGCATTAAGCCAAGAGGACTCCCCCCTACTAATCTATAAATACGGTTTGAACGGTTTGGAAAGCCAACCCTTCCTGACTCTCTCCTTCCTTCTAAGAGGCTAAGAGGACCCCACTTTCCGACCTGCAACGGACAACAATCACGCCGTACCACAAATTAATAAAAAAAAAAAATTCATACATGGTGGAGAATGGAGATGGAGTATCAAAAAAGAAGAAGGCAGCAATAGAGGCGAGAAAGAGAGAAGAAACCGCAGTTCAGTCAGCAACAAGTTGGGAATCTGAAGGAAGGAAGAAGGAACATCCATTTTCTGCACTCATATTATATTAGGACTGCGACTGTGATACGAAAAGGAGCCGCGGCTAGCCAGAGAGGGGCAGAGAGGTTTGATATAGTACTAACAGAAGAATAGAATCGGGAGTACTTGCTAGTGTTATTTTATCTTGAAAGCGGACTCTTCCTCGAGAACCCCAACTCCGCCGACTAGTTGTTGAGCGGGGTGTAGTCTAAGGAGATTGATATATCTCTGGTGCAGGTGAGGCAGTACTGCTGATCAGATTTCATACCACCGGGTGGTCTCTCTGGTATAAATAAAGGTCGTGTGGTGAATCAAGTTAATGGTACTCCTGGGAATTAGAGGCGGTAGGAAGGAGGAGGAGGAGGAGGGGAGCAATAATTACAATAATAGTAAGAGGAAGAAGAATTCAATGCGACTGTGGAAATACGAGGTTGGAAGGACCCTGGGAGAAGGCAATTTCGGAAAAGTCAAGTACGCCAGAAACCTGGAATCCGGCCAATCTTTTGCAATTAAGATCTTGGAGAAGCACAGGATCTTTGACCTCAACATCACCGATCAGGTATACATGTTCATACAACTACTAGTGTATGCTGTTGCTACGTACTCATTGAGATATTGGAGTATAACTGAGGATGACTTGTCATCTCCTCCAGCTCGTTCCTTTTTGTTAATTACCAGTATTATTGTACTGCTCCTCCATCCCATATACGCTACCCAGTTCCCTTCGTCTCATCAATCTGATCATCATCTAATCCATCCATCAACCCTGATCTCAATACTACTATTGGTTTTTCCTTGATTAGTTTGCACCATATTTTTGTATTATCATGTACGTCCCACGGTCAACGCCCAGCTAGCTACAGTACTGGTATACCTTTTTGAGTTATCAAACTCTTCTTCTCCTCTTTGCTTGCTGCTGGTTCATCATCAAATCATCTTCAAAAAAAAAAAAAAAATTTTTTTTTGAAAAGAAATTTTTTTTTTGGTCCTCCTCCACCAAAGGACTAATTAAATCTTCATTCTCCTGGAACCGTAAATTAGTGGGACACGTAATTAATTGTGACGCACCGGCGATATAGAATGTAGCTCTCCATGTGCTTGCTCCATCTTTGAAGGCTTTCCATCTCATCTCCTCCTTGAATTTAATAATTCTGTCAAAGATATGTCTGCTACGACAAGTTTGCTGCTGCTTTCTTTTCTTTTTTTTTTCCCCCCATTCGGGCGGGAAGGGATTCTTACCTAAAACTAAAAGTAAGCAGTTTGGAAGTATTTTATGATCAAGTAGCTATTGTTCCCGCTCTTTTGCTTCCTTACAAGTATCGAAAAGAATAGTAGAAAGGAAGCAATTAATTCCTTGAGTGAGGTTTGAATTTGGAGCTGCACTGTTTAAGAATCTGCTACAGCTTCGCTCATAAGTAGTAATCAACGTGTAAAAGAAAGTGAAATCAATTCATAGTAAATGGGTGTTTGTGAAATGAAATTGCAGATAAAGAGGGAAATTGGGACCTTAAAGCTTCTCAGACATCCCAACGTGGTCAGGTTACACGAGGTACGTACGCCCCATCTTTCCCCGACTTGTGACTACTGCACTATTATAGTATTCTATATACGCGTGTCTACACATACATCATACCTTTCATTTCTCAAATCTGAATTGGAAAGGCGGAGTAATAATGTAGTAGTAGTAGTAGTATTTCTTTTAACTTTTAACAGAGTTCGCCAGAGATTCCCGGGGATAATATCCTACATTTCCTTCTTGTTCGCTTCGCCTGTGATGTGATGAGGACTGGAAAATTTTTTGCTGCATAGACATAAAAGGGAAGGCAAAAAAGAATAGAATAGACGCAATCCCACTTTCTTCAAGCTTTACTGGCGGCCGAGTGGATTAAAGCCCTGTTACAATAATGATCAAATGTTGCTTTGGACCGTCTTTTAGAAGAAAATGTATTTTTAAACCTTGAAGTGGGTATGACGACTTGAAGTTGGTTATTAAAACAAAAAATTTCACTAGAAAGTAAATTATGCTCCTACATGCACCAGTAATATATACTAATAGATTGCGGAAATTTCATTGGGTGGCAGGGGCGGTGCAGACTTGATTCATTAATACGTGAGTCGGCTCGATTATATATACGTGCACATATATTAATTTTTATTTTAATAGTGAAATTATATATATCTTTTTAATATTTTATTATTTATTAAGAAAAATTGCTATTTTATTCATTTTTTAAAAAATAAAATAATTATGTTTTATTTTTTTAAACTTGAGTTCTAGCTCAACTCGATTTGAATTTGAGATCGAGTTTGAACTCGAGTTCGAACTTATAAAATTAAGTTAAGATTCGAGTCAATTATATTAAAACTCGATTCGATTCAATTCGTTTGTGGTTCTAGTTGGCAGCATAATTAAAAAGAAAGAAAAATATAACTTCTGAAGTAATTTGGGTTGGACGCGGGCCTGCCAGGCGGTCCTGGGGCAGACAAGGCCACATTACATGACCGAACTAGAATGGGTAAATGCTCAGCAGCAACCTTGGTTTCTTTCGGGTCCCCTAAATTTTGGAACCGTTTGACTTATAATTGGCTTGGTTGATAAAACAGGCGCCTGCTGGTCTCGTCTTGAATTGGGTTGCCACACGCTGGACCACCACCGGTTTCCACTTGAGAGTTAAGAGTTGAGATGAGCTTGGTTGCGAACCAAACATACAAGACATGAATAATATTTAGGGCCGATTAAAGTCCCCGGCTCCACTCGGTCCTCGCTCAGTTAGTGTAAAGTTTGAGATTTATACGTCAAAATATCACATTACTCAAGCTCAACTTAGAATTCAATTGATGAAAAGGTAGTTTAAGCTGGAGTCAGTAATATAAATAAACCCATTAAGATCAACAAATAAGTCTACAAATTGAAATGTCAGAGTCAAATATACTTGTTTGCAGTCTTAGTGAAAAGCTTATTCAAGAGTAACACTGGGAAGCCTTGTAAACTTGTATGAGTTGGTATTAAATAAAATGCCTTTCCATCTTCTATGTTCTGTTATATATCAACTGAAATTTGCACAAGCATACACAATTAAACTGTTTAAGCAATAAAGTGCAACTTAATTGACAGTAAACTTTACCTGTGACCTATGATTTATAAATCCCAAGTTCGAGTTGGAAAGGAATAGGTAGACTGAAATGTTAATCCGCTATAATTAAGCCAAAAGAAAAATGGTCTAGGCATTCCCATTTATATGCTAATTCCTCCCTGTATCCATCAAGTACAAAAAACAGGAGGAAAAAATGGTTTTGAGTTGAAAATTTCTGACATGTGCACACTATGAAGGTTTCTGGCAGTTAAATTATGAATGTTCAAGCTAATTGCTCTCACCACCCTTTTAACCACAAAAACAGGAGAGAAAAAGAAACAAAAGGGTGATTTTGAGTTGAAAATTTCTCACAGGTGCACCCTATGCATGTTACAAGCAGTTCAATTTTTTTGAGTAGTTCAATTATGAAAGCAAGATTCTAATTTTGCTTTAATGGATGCCAGGTCTTAGCAAGCAAATCCAAAATTTACATGGTCCTAGAATTTGTGGACGGCGGCGAATTGTTTGATCGAATAGTAAGTAGCTTTAGCATTGTGCATTGAACAGCAAGGAATTGCTTCTAATTACTTAGCCCAAGTATTAACATTTATGTGGATGCTTTGCTGAATGCTCCGCACTCTTGGTTTAAACCTGGAGGCATCCAAGGGGAAACTCTCCGAGGCTCAAGGCAGGAAGCTCTTCCAGCAGTTAATAGATGGCGTCAGTTACTGCCACAACAAAGGCGTTTTCCACAGAGATCTCAAGGTAAAGGATCTCTTGCTTTTACCGTTCCGTCATTCAAGAATCAATAATGTTTCGGTTCCATCTTTTCACTTTTACGTTCTTGTCCTTCATACTGAAATGCAGCTGGAAAACGTGCTGGTTGACGCAAAAGGAAATGTAAAGATAACAGACTTCGGCCTCAGTGCCTTGCCCCAACATTTTAGGGTATGATGCGCCATAAAGCACAAAGCCTGCTGTCTAATCATATGTGTTTTTGTTAATTTCTTCCATTGATAAGATTGTTGCTATCCATCATCAGGATGATGGATTGCTCCATACAACGTGCGGAAGTCCCAATTATGTTGCCCCTGAAATTCTTTCTAACAGAGGTTACGATGGTGCCACATCAGACACTTGGTCATGTGGTGTCATATTGTACGTAATTCTCACAGGATATCTCCCATTTGATGACAGAAATCTTGCAGTACTTTATCAGAAGGTTGATGCTTCTCACTGCCTGAAGCTACAGAATGCCTAAATACTCTTTAAACTCCTTGGAACTTTGACTCTAATCCTCTTGTGATAAAACAGATCTTCAAAGGTGATGCTCAGATACCCAAGTGGCTATCACCTGGAGCCCAAAACCTAATTAAGAGAATACTTGATCCAAATCCTTGTACTCGGATATCAATGGCAGACATCAAAGTGGATGAGTGGTTCAAGCAAGACTACTCTTCTGCGATACCTTATGATGATGATGACGACAACAAACAAAATGCATTCATAGAGGATGCAGTTTTATCAGTGCATGAGGTGGTGTGAACTTCTATGATTCATTGCTTAATCGCATTTGTCAACAAGTACTTCCTCTCCAGTAATGTCCCGAAACCTGATTAGCCTTTCTTGCTGCAGCCATCGGAAGCAGAAAAAGATCCAGAATCATCTCACCTCATTAATGCCTTTGAGCTGATTGGAATGTCTTCCTGTCTAGACCTTTCCGGTTTTTTGAGAAAGAAGTAAGCTTGTATAATGATATGAGCCATCTTTCACATTCTGCTTTTTACATTTCTTTATTCAAGGTTTTACAAACCTCAGGATGTCTCGGATAGGAAGATAAGATTCGCTTCCACTCACTCTCTAAAAGAATTGCTTGAGAAGATTGAGCAGACAGTAACAGAAATGGGATTTCAAGTCCACAAGAAGAATGGAAAGGTCAGTATTTTCTGTACTGATTTTTTGGTCAGATAATCCGTGGATTTTAAATGTTTTTTCCTCAGAAATTGGTCTGTCATTATCTGTTATTGAGAAACTGAAGACTGATAAACTCTTTTGACCCTGAAGAATATACTAAATAAGAAAAGAGAAAATGAATGAAATTGAGCCGGAAATAATTTGCGTATTCCGCAGTCAGCCAAAAATGTAAGATAACTTGGGTTGAAGAACATAACATGGTGTAAAATAGGCTATTGAGTTGCATTGATTAATTCAGCAAGTGGCATGTTAATAACCTGATAATTTGGTTTGCGCATTGTCAATTTGTTCAGCTCAAAGCGATACAAGAGCACAAGGGTGATAAAGGCCCAGGTAGCGTCTCAATAGCAGCAGAAGTAAGTGATGATGGAGTGTGGATGATTTTACCCTAGGATAGCCTCTCTAGAATTTTGAGCATTAACCTTTATTTAAAATTGTGGCAGGTCGTTGAAATAAGCCCATCTTTGCATGTTGTTGAATTACGGAAGTATTATGGGGATCCTGCAGTCTATAGACAGGTATGATTCAACAAGATTCGATATCCCATCCCCATTTGCCCCTTCGCCTCGGGGCTCCTCCTCCCCCAAACACCCCGTCCTTCGCTGCTTCTCGACATATAAGGCACCCTCCTTGGGTAAAACAAGAAACAGAAGGAAGAAAACAAATACTCAATGTTTATTTAACTTCTATCACTTGTGCAGTTGTGCAAAAAGCTGTCTAATGATTTGGGCGCCTCGTCAAGTCAAGAGTGCTTAGCTGCTGAATTGTGAGTACCCTTTGCTGCTTAGCTTAGAGAATAGAGATGCTATATGCTACGCCGATGTATACATGCATACAAGTAGATTATACAGTGGTACTATTACCCTACCAATGATTCATTATAAGATGTTTGCAGATGATTCTTTTAAAACTGTATAGCGCTTCAGTAGATCCAGTTCATTTTAGTCTTTCATGATAAATTAATAGGTTTGTAAGCTTGGACGATAAATAATTTTCCAAGAAAATATACGTACCTTCTATGCCATTTTCTCTGTTGCAGAAATCTGCTGCTATGTTCAGAATTTTCTCGAGGCCCTCAAGACTTTAAAAATGGAAAACAAGTTTTGTTCTATAGTATAACAAGTTTTGTGTGTGCGCGCGTGTGTAAGTGATGTCCACTTCAGGTGACAAACATGATCGTGAATGGTATTATGCCTTCAACAAATGTACAATCCAAGTGATTAAATGGTCTTTGACATGTTTGATAGGAGGCCGAGGGCATAGCCCTTGTCTTGGATCATCTGATTCAATCCGAACGTTCACAAGAAACACCCATCAATTAGTTCGACACAACTAAAAAACATAGACGAGGAAAATCAAAACAAACGAACTCTGTGTACGCACAAACAACTAATTCGTTCCAAAAAGGTGGAACAAATATCTCCAAATCTTTGCTAGATCCTAGACGTTTCTCCTCAAGCAAAACTAAATACTGAATCTTTTAAATTCTAAAAGAAAATTTTGTTGTGACAGTTTTATGGTTGTTAAAGCAACAGGATAAAATCAACTAAAAATAAACAATAATCCATAATGGCATTCATTTGACAAAAGCTTCAAAAACAACCTTTCTAACTGGAAAGACATGCCTTGTGCAATCAAAGACTCGACTTCCATGCACCAGCATCCTTTTCAGATGCCAAAAAAGCCTAAGAGAATCAACCTGGTGATGATAATAAGTTTGTTCACAGCTAGTTCTCTGACTAGTCAGCAGCCATGAATGGATCTGTATCACCAAGATCAGCTATCAGAGGTTCCAACTCAGATAAATCTTCATCTTCTGGGGCAAAATACGTTGGGAATGGCAGTGTTGATATATCAGGTTTTCTGAACACTGAATCTTTTATAAACACAAAGTTTCCTGTGGCACCCGGAACCTGAAATAAAATGGGAATGTTACATTAATCTAAAAGACAAAAATTAAAATTATATGCCCCCCGGTTCCGAATTGCAACATTAGGACAGAGATGGGAAATGAGCTTCAGATCATTGGCAATGAGGAATAACCATTGTACTAGTTCTAGAGAGCCAGTCGAGTAATTCTTCAATGCCATTACTATGATTGAGAAAAATTTACAACCGAATTTTGACAAGTGTTACAACTTAAAGAGGCAGATAATTGGATCAACAATATAATAAACTCAAATCCAAGTGCTCATTCTCAGAAAGGGATAAGTTACCTGGCCTTTCACCCACATCAGATTCCTGGCTGGGTCAATTTTGTAAACCCAAATATTTTTTACTGTTCTTTGTTTCCCACCCATGCGTCCAGGCATCTTTTTGCCCTTAAACACCTGTTACGTAAAAGAGATTAAAAGTTGTGCCTCAACATGTTCATAATACTGTTTTTACTGAACCATGTATTTTGAAACTTCTCTTCCTGCGTAAAATTAGTGATTTACAATAAACAATTACATTGTAGTAAGCATTCCAGTACACCGAACAGTGAACAAAAGAGTTGGAACTTCTGGCAGTACAAGGCAAAAGGACCAACATGCTCAGGAGTCAGGAGATAGCTTATCTAATATCATAAATTGTGACAGATAAAAGATCCAAGCACCACGCATCACGCAAGAAGATTCTATAATTAATAATACATCTCCAATCAGAATGTGAAGTCCTAAAAACCCATAATCAGCCAGAGTTGGAAAACAGTTGGAGTTTGAAAGACTGCACTCAATTTCTTCATACTTTCTCAAAGACATGTAAAATAGAAAATAAAGTGATATGGTTGATGAAAAATTAATATTGAGACAAGAAATTAAAAGCCAAAGCACAGACAAAATCAAAACAACAAAAAAAATTACGGCAACTAAAACTGTAGAAAGGGTTATATGGGGAAATAATAAAAACAACAGTACACAATAAGAAGGATCACTTAGGCATTGTGCTTTTATCTCTGCTGTTCTAAGAGCAGTCTGCAAGAATGAATGAATGCCAAAAAAAAAAAAAATCACATAGGCCAATCAACACAAGCCAACTCCTCCTCCCAACTAACCCCAGATAGAGTTTCCATAGGTTTCAAAGTCCCATTCTGGATAATATACATGCTAGTGTAGCCTTCACTAACCATAATCACCGGTCCCAAATGAGATTACACCTATCTAAAACCATATCTGCTAATTGACACTATAGCATATATACCAAATCCGTGGTAGGCCAAAAAGTAAGATGCCTTCCACATTTTTTAATGCCAAAAATCAGCCATGCCATCAGCCCTGGACCTTGTCATATAACATAGTTATCCTACGGTTTAAGCACAAGACAATGCCCGCATAATACCAAAGAAGAGAGAAGACAATGATCAGTAGCTGGTCCGAGAGGATGATCAGCCACACGCAACCGCCGGAATAGAAAAGGGGGGGGGCAATATTTCACTGAAAAGCAAAAGAAGTATAAACAGAAAGCGTGGTAATGAGACGAGAGAGAGAGGGAAAGAAGAAGTAAAAGGAGATGGAGAGCTACAGATGAGGGAGGGGCGATAAAACAAGAGAAAGATAAGAGATGGGAGAAATAAAAATTGAGGCTGGAGGAGGGAAAAATTTGACTGGGTTTGCAAAAAAGAGCCGGGGAAATAACAGTAAAACATGTATTAAAATTGAAGTCTTCATACAGCACGAAGTTAACGATCCAAAATTTGGTATAAAAGAAATCCTTACCCCCAAGTAATATAAGTACAAGTTAACCTTGGAGAGACAGAAACTAAAACATTAGTAAAAATCGATGATGCAGTGAGGCACAATTAAACAGTAATTTGTGCCCTATGCCTAGTGCCTGATGCCAAGGCTCTCAAGGAGCATGGCTGCAAGATCGCCTGCCAGGGAACAACTACAGACAAGTGCTTCTGCACCTTCACCTTTGATAACTTAACGTAGTACAGAAGCCATTCATGGTATCGATTGCCAATAGGCATCCAAAAGACGGAATGCAGTTAACATGAAAGGATTTAGTTAAAGACTGTAAAAAAAAGACAGGCCAAATAGACAACGCCTTGACTTTGTGTCAGTCAATCAACATTAATAAAACCTGATCACTTCTTTAAGGATAGAGAACGTTATATGACTGCAATACCAGAAATGCTCACATGAAAAGTATCTAATGTTTGTGTCATCCTTATGACAATGAAAGAGGAAGAATATATCCTTATATAAGGAAAATCAAGCTGGAGCAACACTGAAATGTTTCTACAAGTTATATGACTTGCATTCCTGAAAATGAAGAATGCTTTTTGAAACAAAACCAGATTAAGTGGGAGCTATTCTTCCAAATTTGAGAAGCTAATATAGAAGGACATGCATGCATCTCTTCCCTTGTAATGTTGCCATAGGGATACTCCTAATACATGTTTCCAAATAACATGTACTACTTCCCTGAACATTAGACTTTTTTATTGCTTAAACATCCAGCTATAAATGTTTAGAGCAAAGAGCAAAGTTAGCAAAACTTAATGATTGCAGAAGAGCCAACAGAAATAATAAGGAAGACCATTAGAAGCAATGCTTCAAATGACCACAAAATCAGAGTTGTGAGACTAGAGATACCCATATGAACTACAGACAGCATCAGATTAACATATAGCTTATATGCAGGCCACAAGGTACCTTTCCAGGAGCGTCCCTTTGACCTGTAGAACCAATACTTCGATGCGATAATGAAGCACCATGAGAAGCTGGCATTCCTTTAAACCCCCATCTTTTCATCCCACCCTAGACCAACCAAAAGAAGAACAAGAAATAACACCAGCTTTAGAACTCAATTTCCAAACCAGAATTCAGTCGTAAACATTCTACAAGAAATGGAATTTCTCCTCAAGACAACCAAGACAGAGTTTCAAATGCATCCTGATGAGTTATCGCATACAGATTTTATTTAAGAATCTTAAAATAGTCAGATGGAACAAAGCTTTATTTAGTACTTCATAATGCCAGACCGGAATGGATAGCAGCAATAGGCACAGCCACATTATATCAGCAAACTGCATTATGACAACCTGGAATATATTTAAGTGTGAACTTGTGGCAATCAAAAGATCAGTGCTTTGGTAGATTGAGGAAACATAAAAAAGAGATAGATCCTCAAGAAAAATTGTCTAGTCAGGTTCATGCAGAATTGGTGTAGCAACACAACTTTATAAAAGCGGCTTCAAATGGGAGTTGATCCTCAATTAGAACTAAAAGGTTATGAAAAAGCGCGTGCTTACTAACCTGAAAGCCTTTCCCCCTAGTAATGCCAGTGACATCCACGAACTGCCAGGAACAAAATGACGAACACCAATGTGAGTACCAACAGGGAGCAAAGCATCCTCAGTGACGGGGAACTCCCTTAACTTCCTTTTCATGGGGACACCTTGAGCTCTAAAGTGGCCACCTCCGGCTTCGTCAAATGCTTCTCTTTTTTGTGGCCGCATCCAATCTAAGTAAGAAAACAGAAAAGGATGATGGGTGGCAGTAAAGAACCCATCCAAAACAAATTACTACTTCAGTCGCTAGTAGCTAGTATCACAACCAGCTAGCAAACCACGAGTCTGGGTGTAAAAGAAAAGCGGAAAGAAATGAAATGATATCGAGATGGCATAACAAAATACTCCAGGAGTTGTTAGCATGGCTCAAAGTCGTAAATAATGCAAGAATAAAAGAACAACACGTTCCTGCAGGGAAATCAATCAAATTTAGAGAGAGAGGAAACTGTGGGGGAGGGAAGGGGAAGGGCGCGGGCGGAGGCGGGGGACGGGGGTTACCTGGAGGGCAGATATGCCTTCTATTTCGGGGGTTTTGACTTGAGAGACGATGTTATCATCCATATGAAGGATGGTGATAGGAAGGCGAGCACCCCATTTGTCCAGAGAGCGGTCATACCACACTTGACGGCAATGGCTCCGGGCCTTTTGGAGTTAGGAGTCATGACCCGAGATTTGGCTTCGATGACACGAGAGGAGCTGCTGCTGTTCTCTTGTAGTTCATCCACACGTAAAGGTTGGGCGCTGAAGAAT